GGGAATACATGCACATTTTAGCTTCAAGCAGCCACTCCTGGGACTCCATTTGCTAAGGGAAACTGTAACTAGATTCTCAGAGCTTTAATTGTACCAAGAGATGAAATGACACTTCCTTCCTGCTGAAAGCAATAGCGTGCACAGAAGAAAGGGTGGCTGGAGCCTCTATGTGTTCCTTGAGATCTATGGAAATGGTAAACATAATTCCTCCAGAATATGGAGTTCAAGACCATCCTCAGCTATATATCCAATGTGACTACACTTCGGCTTACGAGAGACCCTGTCTCAAAAAACTAAGTACAATATTAAAAAAGGAAAACACTTGTACAACACTAAAACAAAAATTTACTATAATACTTTTAAGAGAAAAAAAAAGCCAATCCATCCCCAATCCCAAAGGGGAAAAAAATCCAGCCATCCACTATCAATCCATAACTGTTTCCTTAAAAAAAATCTCTCAATCTCCTTCTCTCCCTTTCTCCCTCCCACTTCCCCAAATCCATCTTCATAACCAATCTCGGTTTCCAAACTGGAGAACTACAGAAGGAAATAATAGCACTTCCCGCTCTTATCCCAACTAGGACAAAGCATTGTCTCCCCATTATACTCCTTACTAACAACCACTCATTTACAATTCACCTTAACATATTATATGTAGTGATATTGTGTCTGTGCTCTAACAAATAAAGCTTGACTGAAGATCAGAGAGTGGAGCTAGCCACTAGCTAACCATAGAGGCCAGGCAGTGGTGGCACACACCTTTGATCCCAGTCCTTGGGAAGAGGAAACGGGAAGTAAGATGGCTGGGCTGAGAGAGAAATATAAGACAGGCAGAGACAGGGGTCACCCTCTTTCAGGCTGAGGAGTTCTCTAGGTAAGAGGTGGTTGTGGCTTGCTCCTTTGTCTCTCATCTTTCAGCATTTACCCCTGTTTCTGACTCCTGGTTTTTATTATTAAGACCAATTAGAATTCACACTACAATTATATCTAATTGAGTTAAGTCATTCTAACAGTCTAAAACTGGTACATAAAATATTGTAAGTTTCAGGAATTATTTCCTGAGAAAACCAGCCTTGTCTGTCTCTTGGTCAAATCATTTCCTCCAATATCAAGAAATACTAAGGGGGAATGCAATCCAACCTCAATGATTCTACCTTTCATAGGTGTTGACATTCTGAACGGATTTGTTGTATTAAGAAAGGAAATGGACACCATCAATCAGACTTTTATATCATGTTTTAATCAGAATCTACTCAGGACACAGTCTAAGAGCCAGACCCCTGGATGCCCTTGTTCAAAAAGGATTTTTTCCTACCTGACTTGCAGCCCACAAAGGAAGAACAAATACTGGCAATGCTTTCTACTTAATTTGGTATAAGCTCATAAAACAAATTGCCCAGATAACTGGACATGTCTTCAATACTATACTATATTTTCCATAGATGTAAACCAGATTTATAACTTAGAAGTGCAGCAATAAATGAACACTACTTATTATAGATTTGTGCCAAGTCTTATGTCAAAGTGAAATAAAAAATGAGACAGCCTACTTTGAGTAATGAAATCTGTCAGCTCAGTTAACTCCTTTTAAAGTATTGATGAGGAACTTTAAGGTTTGAAAAAAAGTTAATTATTTTTAGTAATACAAAACTATGTAAGTTATTACATGTACTCGTTTAAATACTTTCCTTAAAAATAAACTTATCCTAAATCTTTTGATTTTTGCAAGATTTTTTTTCTACTATTCATTTTTCTCCTTTCCACTTGCACATGGAAACCACTACTATCTTGAAATTAAATTCCTATTTCCCTCTAAGGAGTTTCTCCAGCCCCACTAAAGTCAGAGTTGGCACTTATGCTTTTCTAGACTAGATGGTCTGGTCACCATTTGTTAAATCCTTTGTCCAAAAAGAAAAAAAAAGTAGGGGCTAATGTTTTCTATGCTGTGACACACAAAGTGGTTTTTAGGCACATCTGGTCATCCTGTGATAACAAAGTAATCCAGCTATTATAAACAAAACTTAAATCTAAAAGCATCCTTATTAATTTTTTCCTGTTTGTGGCCAAGATGTGGGGGAAAATAGTAACAGTAATAAAATGAGGAAAGCAGAACTTCCATCTGCAAAAATTCCCTGTCTACATACTTCTTCCTAAAGCTCTTTGCCAAAGGCACCGTTTGGACACAGGAAGTTTTAGTAATGCTCATTACAGGAATTAGATGATATATAAGATATGTGGAGATTGACTGCTATTAGTAACACACACAAACCACACACTTCCACTACTTTTTTTACAAAAGGAAAAGAATTAAATTTACAGTTAAAAAAAAAACATTTTTCAAAAAAGTCTTTGTACTCATTGGGCTCCACATAGCTAAAATACCCCGGTGCACTCACTATCTGCCCCCTCTTAGTCTTGTCCTCTCTTTACTGGAGGACTAAAGTCCCCAAAAGTTTGGATTCAGTTTCTCTTCCATACCTCTGCACATAATGACTGCAATTTGATAACTATTATTTCTTAATGCTAATCCAGTTTGTACTCACTTTGCTCTCAGCTTACAATAAGCAGGCCAGTTTTGGAAAACAGGACCAATTTTGACACATCGCTAGACTGCATGAGCTGTATCTTGACAATGACTCATGAGTGCAACAGATTCAACAACTTAACTAGCTTAGTTTTTGTCTTTACAGTTGGTTCTGTGTTCCATGTCTGAACTGTTTATTTATTTATGTTACCTTTGGCTTTAAAATTCAGAACTGAGTAGAGCTACAGGGTTTATTTCCTTTGTAATTTATGAAATTACACATCAAATGCTTAATATTTTCCAACAAGAAAAGCGTATATATACAGTTTCATTTCTTTTTTGCTCAATTTTACAAAAACTCATCAACTTTCCCTCTCTTTGTCATTTTTGCTATGCTTTTGCTTTCTATGCGCTGCAGTTTGAGTAGAAGTGTTCATTGTAGATTTGGTTTCCAGCTAGTAATGCATTATATGAGGTTCTAGATATTTTAGGTAGCACTACTGTGAAAATGTGGGCCGCTGGGAGGGGAGCTTGTAGTTATATACGGCCTCTTTTTCTGCTTCCTGCCCACAATGAGGTGAGTAGTGCGCCACTCATTCCCACCACCATGGTATCTGGCCTCACCAAAGGCCAGATCAACAAAGCTAAGGACTCAAACATTTGAAACCGTCAACCAAAATTTATCCTTCCTCCCATATATTATTCAATTAAGGTCGCAGTAATAGAAAAGTAATTAATACACCAAAGCAGTAATAGTTTTTATTCGTCCATAACACACACAAATTTTGTAAAGGCAAAAAGAATTTATGCGAAAAGTTCAATAAAATATGCTCAAGACTTTTTCTGTATGTTTTCCTTTAGCTGCATGTCTACCAGCACATATCCCATGAAGTTAGCCCTCAGAATTCAGAACTGCCCTGTAAAAACAGTGACCTATCTTCACTTTTACATTGAAACTCAGTTTCAGGGGAACGCAGCAGGTTCTAAGAAGCACGGTACTGGACTGAGCCAGACAAAGAGACAAACACGATGTCCTAGGGCTGTATGCCCCAGGCTCCGAGGAGAAAACACTGGCACTGTCATGGTTAGCAGATTTACAGTGTGTTACGGGAGACAGACAGAGAGTGGTTCGTGTCCAGTGAACGGGCATAATATCTAAGAGGTGAACGTGATGAGGAGTAAGCTGAAGTGAGTGACTTGATGGCCACCCAGGACCATCTTGGTGCCTGGGCCTGGGATGCTGCCATGTCTGGGTTCACGGTCTGTGTTGATGCCCCTGGTTCCACTACTCGTCTGTCATACAGAGGTATGGGCAGGGGAGGAGAGATGGCCCCCTTATCCTTCACCCCTCACTGCCTGGGACACACAAGGGAGCTGTTCCTCTCCTGGTCAGCAAAGTAGAGCCGACCCTGTTGGTGAGGCAAGGGTGAGCTGGTCCTGAGAGTGTGAGCGTGGGACAGCTGGCCACACCCCACTCTTCTGCCATGTAGTGAAGGTGAGGGAAAGAGGCCCTCCTCCCCTTGTCCCTGCCCCGTGGGGTGGGCAAGGCAGCTGACCTCCCCGTTAAACCGCAGCCCTGGGGAAAGTAGACTCTCAGCTCACCTAGAGAGCATAACAGACCTGAAGACCTGGCCAGGTCCCTCATTTGTAATATGGTAGTGTGGGCGGGGTAGAGCTCTGCTTGCCACTTGTGGCAGGTGGGACAGCTGTTCCTGCCCCTTAACCAGCTGCAGCACTCTGGAGTGGCCTCTGTACCTCTCCTGGGCAACTCAACAGAGCAGACCCTGAGGATGGGAAAGCAAGAGCCCCCCTCCCCTGCCACCACTGCTCATTGCTGCCAAGAGTGAACTAGCAAAGACAATGCTGGAGAGCTTCCCTGGCGGTAGGACAAGGAAGAGCTACCAGGCTACCAACCCTGCAATCAAGCAGGCCTAGAACCAGGGTTATGAGCTGGTCCACCCCAACATCTACCCTATCTATGATCTGCCGGAGCACATGAAGGGGTTGGTCCTGCAGACCCAAAGATGCAGGATTTACACAACACAGGGCAACAACAGGATAACCAACAGGAGTTCCAGTGAGGGCCCAGCATTCAGTGTAGCAGAAACCTGAGGACTTGAAACAGACCAATGACTCTGTCCTGCAAGTGAAGATATATGGATAAAGGGGTTACTGTGTGACTGTCACACCGCAGCTCTCATGACGAGATTTTTCCTTTTCTTTTTCTCTTAAATTTTATTTTGGGGGGAAGTGCAAGGGCAGAAGCAGATAAAAGGACTAGAAATGAATGGAATGGAAATGCATGATGTGAAAGACATTAAGTATAAGTAAGAAACTAAATTTCAGAATTGTAGTTTTTAAGAATTGAGGCCAGTCTGGTTCCAATTTAGAAAATATTTACTAGTCTTTTATAATCATCTTGCTTTCAAAATTTATACTTTCAACATTTACTCTGAAATTAAATTTTCATTCAATCTTTTTAGTTTTAAAATGAAAATTTTATTTAGATAATATAAGCATGTCACTGTGAAACAAATTTCTCTTTACTGGGTACTGCATAAAATGCAAAAAAAAATTAAGATATTTACAGTTTCCTCCCAGTTAGACACAGCATGGAAAAAATAAAAACAAAAATGTAAGAACTTTGAAAAATAAATGAAATAGCCATATCTGTGTATATAGTTTACATACACACAAATTTCTTGTCAATCAGACTTATTTAATTCCACAAACTCTTCTTGAAGTGCTTCAGTAAAAACTGGACATCAAGGTGAAATCCATTTCTCCCCTCAAAACTACCATATGTAGGTTTTAATATGTCTTAAACACAGCACCATGTATTTCTGAATTTCTTGAAATAACACTAATAAAGGGGTGCTATACGGGAAAGGGGGCTCTAAAGATAAGGAGGATGGGGGTGCAAGGAAGGGCGTGTTGAACAATAAATATTCTTTCTTATCTTAAATTCAAGCTTAGTTACGTTTTTACGTTTTATAAATGACATCATGTGATGATATTAGAGACTGCCTGGGGAGAAGGACGGACCAGCTTAAGTATGAGATACACATGTATGAAACCGTCATAATGAAATCTATTATTTTGTGTATTAACTTGAATCTTTTTAAAGATAATATTCATGAATCTGGCTCTTAAATTTGGTTCTAAGCCAACAAAGTTAGGCACTTTTTATATGAATTTGCTCACATAGTTATATATGCTGTTCTTGGCAAGTTTTGCTTTAAATACTTCACAATGAAAATCTTAGTATTTCCCTTATTGCATTTCAGGGTCAACGCTAGTGTTAAAATTGTGTTGAAAGTTTTAATTTTTCAAAGTTAAAATTGTGTTGAAAGTTTTAATTTTTCAAAGTTTCATAGTTTCACTTTCAATTTTTCATTGGTACTCGAATGTTAGGATTGTTATCCAAATGCTGAATGCAGTTCTCTTTAAAGACCAAGGAACTTTAGATCTAACAAAAACAGTGAGAGGTCTTCAGATCTTCAAAAGCAAACTGGAATAAAGAATGGTATTTTTCTTAGTTTATGACAGAATACCTTCCCAACAGACAATCCATAGACATTGATAACACAGCGTATCTTGACAACATTTAACTTTTGCCCAAAATCTAAAGTATGGCATTACTACAGTAATATTGACAGACTCCTAACAAGCTCAAAAATACTTTTAAGTAGTAAAATACCAAACTCATGAAAATGTACTGTTTTGAAAGCCTAATTTTGAAGCAGTTTTCCTCATTCTCGTGTGTAAGTAAATTCTCAGCTAACAGAAACAAAGGAAGAACTAATGTTTCCTAAAACTGAAGTTTGACCGTCATTAATTCAAAACAAATTGGGTGAGGGGTGCATGTTAGGAAAATAAGTAATCTTCCAAGCTACATACCGAATTCTAATTCTAAGACTGAACCAAGGACGACACTAGAAATTCCTTAATTTTCCCCCCAAAACTGGGGGCAGCACAAGGTCCTACAGGTTTCTCGGGGGTTCCTTTTGCTCCTTGTATACCTGAAGCACTTATCAATGGCACCACATTGTGATTTTGTACAGCCTGGAATCTAGATACACTATGCTTCTACTTCACAGAAGAGCATCAGGGCTTCCTCGTATTTGGAGCACACGCTTTGCTCGTTTCACGGACTACGGCAAATCTGGCGAATTATGTGGACCATGTTGGCCAGCTGCAAATTGGGGCGAAAGCTGCGACTTGGAAAGGTCCTTCGGCACTGTGGGCAGCTGAAGATCTGTGGAGAACGCCGTATGCGGGCGTCTGGATAGAGCTGCCGTCGCACAGGGGGATGCGGGGGTCCTGGCCTGAAGATGCGGCGGTGGCGGTAGCGGCCGCGGTGATGGTACTGGTGGCCGCTGGGATGCTGCTCGTCCCTGTCTTCGGGAAACACCCGAATTCTCAAGTCGTGCACCAGTCCTTGTACGTTGTTGCTCACATCTTCTTCCTCGTCATCCCACGTGGAGCCTGCGGTGTGGCGAAGCCTTTGGTGGCTAGGAGCGACCCAGGGTGGGGCAAGCGCTGGGGGCTGGAGCACGCCCTCCCCCTGCCCGTCCGTGTCCTGTGCGCGCCTGTGATACAGGACCTCTCTGACGACCTGGTTCTCTGGGGCGGGCTGGCCTTGGTCCCGTTCGTCTTCCTTGCCCCACAGCTGGGTCACACATCCCCGGCAGAAGTTGTGACCACAGCCGATGGACACCGGGTCCTTAAAGTAATCCAGGCAGATGGCGCACACTGCCTCTTCCCGAAGGGACTGCATGGGGCTGGGCGGCCCGGGAGGGGCTGCCATCTTAGAGCAAGCAGGTCCTACGGAAGCTGAGAGGGGGGTGGGCGGAAGGCCTGGCCCACCCGACGCCACCCAGGCGCCCAGAGGCGGTGGGCGCCGCCGCTACCCGGCTGAGGGGCGGGACGGGGAGGGCAAAAAGGCCTTGCTACCCTCCCGAAGGGTGGAGAGGTGCGGGCCTCGCTGCCCCACGGGGTACGGCGCTGCCCGGATGAGGGGCGGGAAGGCGGCGGCCTGGCTGCCAGAACGAGGGACTGGAAGGCGGCCTCGCTGCCCTACCCGGGGCGACAAGGTGGTGGCCTTGCTGCCCGGATGAGGGGCGGGAAGACGGCGGCCTGGTTGCCCCGCTCCGGGGGCGCGACCCCAGCCCGGGTACGACCTCCGCCTTCGGCCTCGGCCTCGGCCCTGCCTTCCTGGGCTCCCGGGGAAGCCTGCAGCCCCGGGCAGGGACACCAGCTCAACTCACACGCAGGCCGCCCACCGACGGCGGCGCCGCGGCCCACAGCCCGCGTCCGCCTCTCCCGCACCGCGGAGCCCCAACTGACTGCCGCCGCACACGCTGCTCTTTATAACAGAGGCTCCAGGAAGTGACGTCAGCGGGCTCCGGGACCTCCCTCTCTCCTAAAGGGAGGACGCTCTGGGCCCTGGGCGGACCACCGTCTCGATGGTGTTCGAGGCGGGGGGGGAGCGGTCCAGCCACGTGAATGCCTGTCATCCCAGCATGGCAGACCTGAAAGATCGGAATTCGAGACCACCTGCGGCCACACAGCAGCGTGGAAGCTCATACTGGTCACAAGACTGCTCTCTAAATAAACAGATAGCTAGGCAGACAGATAAAATACAAACAATACAACCAGACCGGTGGGCCCAGGCTCTTAAAAATGAGGACTCATGCTCCAAAAGCTGTTTTCTTTTTTGATTGTTTCTTCTATACAAAGAGAGCTTAATTCTTTCACAGACAACTGCTTCTCCTGACTGACAACGAAATACCATTTCCCATCAAAATTCACATTAAATCTCTGATTCCATTCCAAGAAATGTCAAAACTTAACCTCTTTACTCTCACTACTCTCTCGCCCCACAGGAGAAGGTTGTTACAAAACTTGATGAACATAATCAAGTCATACTGGAAAGAATGTTCTGGACTGGGAATATGCAGCTGCACTGAGGAGATATTTTGGCCCTTCCTGCGTTATAAAAGTTAAGATGATTAATAAGTATGGAACTGGTCTACCGAGAGTACTGCAGTCCCTTCACGGTTATTAGGAGATGTGTTAAGCACATGAAAATAGATGTATGTTATTTGTTATTGAAGGGTTTGCTTTTAACATTTTTAAAAATTTAAGCCGTTTGTGGGGTTTTTGTTTGGTTGGTTGATTTTCAGTTTTGCAGAACATTCAACACTGGGGATTTCCATGCTTAGGTCAACATTTTAAAATAATCCCATTTGTAAAAAAAAAAAATTTAAAAACCTAAATATTCCAAAAGGCCTAAATTGTTTACAGCTTACAACTGAAGCACATGCTTGCTTCCTCCTAACATCTCACTCAAGTCACTGAGCAGATTTTTAAATTACAAGTAGCAAATGTCATCCAAGGAAAGATAACAGCCACACAAACTTGTAGAGACAAATAGTAATTGATGCTAAAGAAAGGTAAATCAAAAGACTTTAAAATGAAAATTAAAAGGAAAGATAAAAGCAACCATAGAGGGGCCGGGCGGTGGTGGCGCACGCCTATAATCCCAGCACTCGGGAGGCAGAGGCAGGCGGATCTCTGTGAGTTCGAGGCCGGGCTGGACCAATAGCCTCCAAACCAATACAGAGAAACCCTGTCTTGTAAAAACAAACAAACAAACAAACAAAAAAAGCAACCAAAAAGAAAATTCAGGAGGGAAAAAAAAAAACCCAAGGTTCTGAAAACAGTCACTGGCAGTCCCAGGTATCCACAGCAAGAGAGTTGAACCTCTACAAGTAAAGAAATAGATACATAATTACACAATAGCTGAGCGGTTCCTCTTAAGAAAACTCCGGTTTATCTGCTACAAAGAATGAGTCAGAGAGAAGTGCCAAAAACACAGACACAGAGAATTCTCTTATGGGGTGCACTTGCAACCACGAGAACTCTCCAACCTTTCTTATCTAATTCTAATGTCAGCAGCCAGTGGTAGACACTCATGGGAGGAACCGGATTTAATTTTTCTCCAGAGAACCTAAACAGATTAATGAAAATGTCTGGGTGGAAAAAAATGTAAAACATGGTCAAAAGTTCACTACCCAAGCAGTGGAAGTACGTTACCCAACAAGGCAGAAAACCAGTTCCATTCTGCAAGTGAGTGGTTCATTTTTACATATTTATTGACAGTTAAGATTCTGTAAGTATTTGAAGAAAGCTTCCAACATAAGGCAGCCTTTTTTTTAATGGAAAGAAACAATTTTTGGATAAAGTAATAGCATTGGAAAAATCAAGCATATATGTGTATAGTTAAACTTCTAGCCCGCAGACATTGGTTTTACTAAATAAAAACAATCTTATTTAAAAAAGACACAGAAGTTAGATAGACTAGCATTTAAAAGCACATACTGCTCTTGTAGAGGACCTGAACAGTTCCCAGAACCCACATAAGATAGCTCACAAGCACAGGCAACCCCAGTTCCAGAGGATCTGACACCTTCTGACCCTCTACAGCACCTGTACTCACCTGTGTACATACACCCACAAACACACAGGCATGTATATTTTTGTAAAATAGCGAATCTTTAAAAAGATACAAACAAGCAATGAAATGTGGGAGGGGAGAGGAGACAGCATCAAGTAAGTAACACGCTGTATTGAAGCAAGCTTAGGAGGATCTCCATGTAAAATTAGCCAGCTGCTGCAGTTTGCTTTTCTGTTGCTGAGATAAAACACTGACCACACAATTGTCAGAGAAGGAAAGGGTTTATCGGGGTACAGTGCATCATCAATGGAAGCCAAGGCAGGAACCCAAGGAGGAAACAGAAGTAGAAACCGAAGCAGGAAACCGGGGAGAAATGCGATTACTGGCTTGTCTCCTCTGCCTTGTCCACCTGCTTCTCTTACACACATACCACAGGCCTAGGGATGACACCACCCACGGAGGGCTGGGGTCGGCTACAACAAGTAGTAATTAAGAAAATGCCCAAGACATGCCAACCATCCAACCTAATGAAGCAATTCCTCAGTTAAGTTTCTGTCTTCCCAGGTGACTCTCGTTTGTGTCACGTTAACAAAAGGTAGCCATCACACCTGGTGTGAGACTGCTAAGTGCTGATGTAATAACAAGTGATGAATGTTAGGAACCAAAACCAGACTCAATGCAAATTTTTTTCCCAGATGGATCATTTCTGATGCCAAGAAAATAATCAGGGACAAAGTGACAAAAATCAAAGTTTTGGGAAAACAAAAGTAGAGATAAGAGTACACTGAATTATTAATCAGTATGAATCATGTTTCCCGTGTTGAGCACGTTTGTATATAACTACGTAATGCTCTCGGGAATTAATTTTTAAGCAGAACGTGCTCCATTTTCATGTGTGTCTGCGTGTGGTACGTGTGGTGTGCATGCCTGAATATGTGTCTAGTTGCTCATGCACGTGTGTGTTGATAGCTGTAAAGACCCGAGGTTAACACCGGGAGTCATCCTCACTCTCTTCCACTTCGTTCACTGAGGCAATCAGACGTAGACATGGCAGAGATGGCTACCGCTGGGGACACCATCTCTGCTCTCTGCCGTGCTGTGGCTCCTGGCATCCATCTGGTTCTGGGAAGCTCAGCTCCATTGCTCAGGTGTGCATTGCTAACGCTTTAACCACTGAGCCGTTTCCCCCCAGCCATTTCCCCATAACCGACTTCAAGAGCAATTCGTGTGTTCCCCTCCACACACACTTCACTTAGCAAAGTTTTAATCTTGATATAAATTTGGGCCTGCCGTTAATGATGCTGTCTGTGTAGTCTGGCTCTGCTGCTGCTTGCTAGAAACGACTAAGATGTAAACGCAATTAGAACGCCTTTCCGATTGTATGTGTTACTAGATTAACCAAGAAAACCAGGCTGTACCTCATCTCTAATCGTTCCTACTGCACACATTATGCTGGGGTCTCCTTCACAGCCAAGCTTTCAGTATGATGGTCTGAAATCAATGGTCCTTCTTCTTCACATAGATCCTGCAAGGGACTTAGGAAAAGGCCCCGCCCCCGCTACGGCATCAGTGAAGTCACTGCTTTCTAGTTATTTATAGCCATCACTTCACGCTACTGCTACCTGCTTTGTTGTTCCCTTTCAGCATCTATCTGCCTCTCTAAATACCCTTCTGTCTTCCGTTTACCAAGTTTTTACAACCTAAGAGACCCCGGCAGGCTGTCTTTGGTCTTCTCCTGTTTCCTTTAGACATTCGCACAGTCTCACCCACGCCTTTAGCTCCATGAACCGTCCAACCATCAACTGTTCCTTTTTAACCAGAGCTCTTAAAATGGTTATAACTGTGCAGTTTTCCCACACAACAGTTGATGCTTCTGAGTTTCCTTTTTCTTGAGAACGCCGTCACTAACACAGAAACAAAAGACAAAGCTTAAGAAAATTCTCGTGTCCCCCTTCAATTTTATCCTAACCCTTCTTGCGTTACTTGTATGACACGGCCAGAATCTTTCCTGGACGCCACAGTACATCTCCTAGACTGCTGGCAGAGGGACCTCAACTAAAAGACGAATCTTATTTCACTCAATGGCTTGAAATCGTTCAATTGCTTTTCATTACCTTCAAAGTGAAGTCTAAATCCATCCGTGTAGGAGGAGGCCAACAGCCGGCCAGTCCAGCTTGCGCATTAGCGATTTCCCTATGAGCCAACCAGAAGTCCACAGCTGACGTCATGGTGACCTGGGCCAATGAGAGAGAGAGACAAGCAACAGTCCAGATTGGCACCACCCCTGGGTCCGCAGCATGTGGAAGAGGCTTGCCCACACTTTCAATAAACAAGTGAGCTTTTGCTTTTTCCCGGCCTCTGAAGTCTGTGCCGTTGATTCCTCGCCTTCGCGCCCACTCCCCCAAGAGGCTACGACTTGGGCTCGCCCTCTGCAACACATCAGGACACAGCCTCCTGGGCAAGCGTCTACTTCAGTTTACCTTCTACTGTGCGCCCCACTCATCTAGACTACGGTATGACCTCAATACATTTCCTCCACTTCCTAGGTCACGCCATCCTGGTTGCGTCACCATCCAGTTATTCCCCCGCCACACCCAGCTGGGGATATCTGTATGTTAGTAACGCGTGGCTGCCGTACTTAGATATCTGAGATTGAATTTATGAGGAGGAAGGGGTGGTTTTAACTGGTTTGAGCGATTCCACCTGCGATCCGTTGATTCTTTGGGCCCGTGGCAAACAGCCGGTCATGGTGGTGTGTAGTAGAACTCTACCCCTCACTTGGTGGCCAGGAAGAGAGACTTGAGGGGGCAGGTAAGGAGACAGCTGGGGATTCATATCCCTCTTCTAATCACACCCTCAAAGGGTTTAAAAGTTTCTTACTAGACTCTACCACTTAAAGGGTTAACTGCCCTCACAGCCTCTGTGGAGACCAAGTACCCATCACATGGTTCTTTAAATAAACGTAAAGCTCAAACTATAGCAATCTCCAGATTCTTCTTCAAGATCAGTTTTCGTAAAAGTCAGCTTTCCAAGCGCATCTAACCACTGTCTTACTAGGGTTTGCTGATTCCACTGGACAAGACAGATTCTCAGTAATTACAAGTACTTTTCTGGGTTGGAATATGTGCTCCGTTAGGCCAGATTTTATGGCCTTTTTTTTTCTTTTATGCCAGAATTTTGAAGAGTTCCTGTAACATGTCAGTGTTTCCCTAGGAAATCCATAAAGCTGTAAATTTAAGCCCAGCACTCAGAAGGCAGAGACAGGTGGATCTCTGTGAGTTTGAGACCAGCCTGGTCTGCAAGAGCTAGTTCCAGGACAGCCTCCAAAGCCACAGAGAAACTCTGTCTCTAACCCCCCTCCCTCCCAGAAAAAGAAATCCATAAAGCTTTAAATGAATGTTTTCTAAATAGCCAAATGTTTCATTGACAAAAACAGCCCTTGAGAATTGTTTGTATTGAAGGGTTTTGTTTTTTCCTCTGCTGTGGGAATATGACATCCACATCATAGATTAGGTGAAGCAAACAGCCCTTTTCACATGGCAGTCTGGGAAAGCCCTGGTTGGGAAAGCTGCTGTGTTCCGTAGAAGCTATACAGGGTGATTGTCTCCTCTTTTCCTCCTATGTTTGTTTGGGGTTTTGTGTATGAATGTTTTCCCTGCCTGTATGCATGTGCCTTTCTCTACATGTATGTATGTGCCTGTCTGGTGCTCCTGTAGCCCAGAAGAGAGCATCAGATCCTGCAGCACTCAAGCTGCAGATGGCTTTGAGCCACCGTGTGCGTGCCAGGAACCAAACCTCTCCAACCCCTATACTATAGTTTTCTTTGGATGTTAAATCTCAAAAACAAATAGGAGGAGCAGATATAGTTATTTTAGTAAAATTGGGATCAATAGAAAGTACTGGACAATGGCTGTTGTTGAATGGCTGAAAGAGGGAGGAACTTCTAGTGCATAGCAGGATGATGGATGCTGTTGGACGACAAGTAATATCACTTAGAGCAAAGGGGTGTTAGGTCCCACATACAAAACAAGGCAAGCGATGTTCCAACTGGCTACATGGCAGCTGAGCAATTGCCACATGGCACATTTTGAAAGTATTCCATGATCACAGATGGTCACCGAAATTTCACAGCCTGGACTTATGTAATAGATTATGAAATACAAGCGTTGATGGCATTTAGACTATTTTATTATCAGGGAGTTTCACAATTTTACATTAGAGATACACAATCTATTTATTGAAGAAAAGGCATACTAAATTCCCAACTCATATTTTCTGCATGAGCTCTAGTTCCTTCGGGGTCTTCTCAGTTAGGTCAAGAACTGTTACTTACTCTTAATTTGCTTTAAATTTCCAGCCTTGAACTTAAGGCCTTGCTTCCCTGAAGTCCAGTTTACACGCTGTTAAACAGACTCCCCTGTTTTTCTGTCTCAATACCTAAGTATCAAAGTTGGAGATAACATCAGATCCAGCAAACTTAAAAGGCAGAGAGAGAAGGTAACGAATGGAATAACGCCCACAGGAATTCCAGAATAATGGGAGTGTGGTCATAGATGTCATGTAATGAAGAAAGAGTAGGCAGAATATAGCAGATAAAAAAAATGTCTTTTCAAGAATGTCAAAAGCACACATTAAGAAAAAACAACCTCTTTAACAAATTGTGCTGACAAATTGCATGTCTACAAATGCAACAGAATGAAATTATATCTACATCTCTCATCCTGCACAAAAATACTCAATTCATAGTACATCAAAGACATTACTGTGTAACCCAAAGCTTTAAAACTACTATAGGAAAGCATAGGCAAAGCTTTCACAAACACAAGCAAGAGTGTTTTGTGAAAGACTCAAGTTGAACAGGAAATAGTCCCCCAAATTAACAATTAATTAATTTCTTCCTTCTCAAAGGAAGACATACAAATGGCCAACCAATGTTTGAAAAAGCAGGACTGGGGAGATGGTACAAGTAAGAAAGCACTTGTCATGCAAGCATAAATACTGGAGTAGATGCCCCAGAACACACATTCATTCAGAAACAATGTGGGGAAGCTCTGTGGTACAGGCTTGCATTTCCAGTGATAGGGAGTTGGGGCAAAAAAATACTTAGGGCTTGAAAGCAAGTGTGGAAAAATTAATGAATACATGCTGTGGGATAATCCTTCTTTACAATTTGGATGTGAATTACTCTCATTGGTTAATAATAAAGCTGATTGGCCCCTAGCAAGGCAAGATAATGATAGTGGGACAATAAAACTGAGGACTTGGATGAAGGATGGCAGAATCGAGAGAGACACCAGTCTGCAGCCCAAGAAGCAGGATGCTAGAGGTAAAGCCCTGCCCAGCCACGTGGCAATACATAGATTAATAGAAATGGGTTAACTTAAATGTAAGAGCTAGTTAGTAATAAGCCTGAGCATTGACTGAGCATTTTGTAATCAATTTTCAGTTGTGTTACTTCTGTTTATGCTCGGGAACATTTATTTAATGATGCAAAGATGTGTTTGAGTAAATAAAATTCACCTGCAGTCAGAAGACTGGCTCAGCTACTACCTGACAGGAAGTTGTAGGGAGGAGCCAAGTGAAAAAGGGTTCGTAAGGAGGGTCGTGAACAAGCACAAGGACTTCTTGGGAGAAGCAAGGAGCTGAGGTAGGTGAGCTGCTTGCTCTCCAGCCTCTCTGGGAAGCAGGATTCTACATCAGCCTTTGAATCTTGAATTCTTTAACAGGACATAGATTTAAATAAGCTTCCTCAGTAGCTTTGAAAGAGTTGGTATCTGAGGGAACAGAATTCCCTCAGGCATTGGCTCTTGCGCCTAGCCACTGCTAGGTGGTGGAGTGGCAGTTGCTGAGCAGGATAGCTGTAGCTTAAAAGGCAGGCACAGTTTAAAAAAATGAAAGAAACAGAAAAGCATGTGTATGCCAACAGGAGTATGAATTATATAAACTGTTAGAGCAGTCCCTCGAGATGGTGCAGAGCTGAGGCACTTGTTGCCAGTTCCCAAGACCCACATGGTGGAAGGAGAGAACTGGCTCCCAGAAGGCATCATCTGACCTCCATATGATGTGAATAGTGGTACAGTCATACCCACCCTCCCGACCTCCATATGATGTGAATAGTGGTACAGTCATACCCACCCTCCCGACCTCCATATGATGTGAATAGTGGTACAGTCATACCCACCCTCCCGACCTCCATATGATGTGAATAGTGGTACAGGCATACCCACCCTCCCGACCTCCATATGATGTGAATAGTGGTACAGGCATACCCACCCTCCCGACCTCCATATGTGAGCAGTGGTACAGGCATACCCACCCCTCCCTACCTCCATATGTGAGCAGTGGTACAGGCATACCCACCCTCCCGACCTCCATATGTGAGCAGTGGTACAGGCATACCCACCCTCCCGACCTCCATATGATGTGAATAGTGGTACAGGCATACCCACCCTCCCGACCTCCATATGTGAGCAGTGGTACAGGCATACCCACCCTCCCGACCTCCATATGTGAGCAGTGGTACAGGCATACCCACCCTCCCGACCTCCATATGTGAGCAGTGGTACAGGCATACCCACCCTCCCGACCTCCATATGTGAGCAGTGGTACAGGCATACCCACCCTCCCGACCTCCATATGTGAGCAGTGGTACAGGCATACCCACCCTCCCGACCTCCATATGTGAGCAGTGGTACAGGCATACCCACCCTCCCGACCTCCATATGTGAGCAGTGGTACAGGCATACCCACCCTCCCGACCTCCATATGATGTGAATAGTGGTACAGGCATACCCACCCTCCCGACCTCCATATGATGTGAATAGTGGTACAGGCATACCCACCCTCCCGACCTCCATATGTGAGCAGTGGTACAGGCATACCCACCCCTCCCGACATGCAATAAATAAATAGCAAGCTGTGACAGCTACGATGACATCAATATGAAACTTCTCAAAACACTCAGAACTACCATGAGACCCTGCTATGTCAGTCCAAAGGACTCTAAAGCAGCATACCTGCACATCCATATTTACTCAAGCAACATTGACAACAAGCAACATATGATATCAGCCTAGATGTCCACAAACAGATGAATGCATAGTGGAAACTGTGGTACATTCCCATGATGGAATTTTATTCAATTATAATTAAAGATGAAATTATAACACTGGCAGGAAAAAAAGGATAGAACTAGAAATAATTATGTTAGGCATAATGAGTCAGACTTAAAAAGAAAAATGTCAAACTCCAATCTGGTGAATCCAGTGAGTTTGTTGAGGTTACAGGAGTATGGGTGAGAGGTTGCCTAACAGGAACAGGAATGATTCCACAGCTGCATCACTGAAAAGCCCACCCCAGTGGGATGACTTGTGAAAACTGAAACGCTTTCAGGAAACAAAGTAGGCCACATATATATATATATATATATATATATATATATATATGTGTATATATATATATATATATAATCTCAGGTGAGAGAGTCTCCTCCCTCCCCAGCAGCCCTTTCTGTTTTTATAAACTTGGAAAAGGAATGGGCCTTGTGCATCTTACACATTTTGGAGGGCTTCAAAGTCTTTAGGGGTATATATATATCCTATTCGTAATGAGCCTTCCTCCAGGGTAGGAATGTTTTAATTCAGAAGGTACTGATACACATTAGGCACAATATCCTGACATATGTAAGGTTTGTGCGTGTGATTTTATCACATTAGCAGATGTTCACTGTATGCAGGAACATGCAGGAAATACACTTATTGTAATGTCTATTGTGATTTCATTAGGGCTGTCTACGTTAAATACTATCCTAGCCTGTTTACATCTTGTAAGCTTCTAGTTTGTATTTTCTTATAACATATAAGTGTATATGGTGAGTGTCACCAACTATCTGCCAAGTATTGATATTTGTGTTTTTCTAATATGGTGATGTCCTAGAGTGAGCCAGTGTTTCTAAGAGAGTAAGTATCAGGGTAGAAAAACATGAATAAAGATATTTTTCACAGCTATCTTGTGAACTGATTTAAAAAAAAAGAAAAATACTACATTTTCTCTAACATATGGAGTCTAGATTTAAACATGTATGTGTGCTTGCATGTGTGTCTGTGACATGAGAACGGAAAATGAGACTAAAGGGAGGGCGGAGAAGCAGAATAAAAGGGAAATAGAATTCTATGTGACATGAAAGCAGAAGCAGAGACTACTCAGGAAAAGGAACGGGACTAGCATGAGATGGAGGGCTAGCATGAGGTGGGGGGAGACTAGCATAAGATAGGGGGACTAGCATGAGGTGGTGGGGGAGACTAGCATGAAATGGGAAGGACTAGCATGAGATGGAGAGGAGGCAAAGAGGACAGGTGGGCAAGTAAAGATGTATATTTTATGTACATATAACAATGCCATAATTAAATCCATTACTTTGTATGCTACCTAAATCTTTTAATTGAAAAGCAATAGTAATATTTTTAAAGACGACCTTTGCTTTAAGATATCTAATATATGTGTTGTAAGAAATAACCCAGTGTAAGGGGAAAGCAGACATTGAAACAGCAACTTTTACAATCTTGCGTCTAAATTATTAAAGAATTATTAAAGAATCCTAAAGGTCAAAAGATGCTAAGCTGTGAGTTTCCTGAGGTATATGTGAAGCTTCGTTACTGTTAGGCATAAAAACAACCTATAAAAAAGATTCCATTCATGACAATATCTTTACGCATTGAAATTATATTATTTGGATATACTGGGTTGAATAAAATGCCATGAGACCTAACAATACCATTTCTTTCCCCTTTTTATTAATATGGCTTATGAAACAACAGAAGTCACACAGCATCTTAGTTCATATTATGTATCTACTGAGTAGTACTGGCTTAATAGTGAATAGAAAAACCTAGTATTAGATATTTTGGGCATTTTTTCACTTCTTAGAATTACTACAATTAAAAATAATTCTAGGGGCTGGAGAGATGGCTCAGTGGTTAAGAGAACTATCTGTTCTTCCAGAAGTTCCAGGTTTGAGTCACAGCACCCACATGGCAGGTCACAACTGTCTATAACTCAAGTTCCAGGGCATGTGACACCTTCATACTAATGCACATATAAAATAAATTTTAAAAAATAATTCCAATAGCTATTATCCTTATATCCCAGATCTCAAAAAAAACTCCATAATATCTTTTACTTAAAATTTTAGGACCATATGGATGGATGTGTCAATAGATAAGAGCATTTGTTTCAAGTCAGGCAGTGGTGGCGCATGCCCTTAATCCCAGCACTTGGGAGGCAGAGGCAGGTGGATCTCTGAGTTCGAGGCAAGCTGGTCTTTGTAGACTGAGGTCTAGAGGTCTTTTCAAGTTACACTTGGTATATCCACCACTACAGGACAGGCCTCATTCAGGAGCAGTGATCAACATAAAATAGACTCCACAAGATTTTTATTTGGTTATAGTTTAGTGGTTTGGATTTGGGGGTTGTTTTTTTTTTTTTTTTTGAGTGGATGGTTTGTCTTGTTTTGATTTGTTTTTCTGTTTGTTTGGGTTTTTCCTACTTATTGTTTTATTTGTTTTTCTTGGTTGAGGTGATTTGTCATAGTGTTTGTCTGTTTGGAGAAAACAAAGTTAGGTGGGTAGGGAGGGGTAGAGTATCTGGAACTTTGTAGCCAGTTCCAAGATAGCCAGGACTGTTACACAGAGAAACCCTGTCTCAAAAAAAAAAAAAAAAAAGCAAACAAACAAACAAACAAAAAACACCAAAAAAAAAAAAAAAGAACACTTGTTGCTCTTACAGAGTATGGAGTACTCAGGTTCAATTCCCAGCACAAAAATGATGGCTCACAACCATCTGTAACTTCAGTTCCAGGAGATCCAGCACTCTCTTTTGGCCTCTGAGGGTACCAGATACACACACGGTGCATGTACATACATGCAGCTAACACTAATATGCATAAAATAAAAAATAAACAAGTCTTTTTTAAAGTTAAGATATGAGTGAAATTAATAGTAATTTTATCTAAAGTTTCAACTCCTAATAGGTAAGCATTTAGCAGCAGCCTAAGACACGATGACAAATACAAGGCCTTCTAAGTGATGAATGTTACACCATCAGTTACTGAGGTCTAGAGGTCTTTTCAAGTTACACTTGGTATATCCACCACTACAGGACAGGCCTCATTCAGGAGCAGTGATCAACATAAAATAGACTCCACAAGATTTTTATTTGGTAATAGTTTAGTGGTTTGGATTTGGGGGTTGTTTTTTTTTTTTTTTTGAGTGGGTGGTTTGTCTTGTTTTGATTTGTTTTTCTGTTTGTTTGGGTTTTTCCTACTTATTGTTTTATTTGTTTTTCTTGGTTTAAGTGATTTGTCATAGTATTTGTTTGTCTGTTTGGAGAAAACAAAGTTGGGTGGGTAGGGAGGGGTAGAGTATCTGGAAGGACTTGAGGGACAGGAAGAATCTCATGGAAATATATTTAAATTTAAAAATTGTCATAATAATAATATTTTTAAAAGACTGAGCGAAATGACGATCTTTCAAGTTCTCATCCTAAAGAAAGGAAAATTTACAGTGATAGATGGACAAATTCTTCTGTGCTGACCATTGCCCAGTAAACACAGAAATCAAAACATCACATCGCCTGCAGAGATACACACCTTCATTATAGGTTCAACAGAATGTAAGTAAAACAAGATGAAACAGTGATACTGTTCTCTGCTCTGCTAATGTGCATTGAGATAGCCTGTGGACAGACCTCATCCCGCCCTTCCTGGATTTGTTTAATCGGTCAGCACTGTCTTTCACTGCTGTATCTTATTTCTTCTAGCATCTTTAAAAGAAGCAAGTGTTCTTTCACCGAGAAAGCTGAAATGCCTCTCCCTGATACAATCAGATGCTTTCCAAGCCCTTTCAAAGGAGAGGAAATTGCTTCTCTGGCTTCCAGCCACTGAGCTGCTGAGAGCATGGCTCTTGCAGAAGGGAAGGCACCGAATGAATGAGTTTCCTCTGAAAACCAGGCAGCCCCCATGCTCGTGCCATACAGGCTGCTGGAATAAGTAAAGATAGATAAAGAAGGCACAGTTTCCCCTGTGTACCTGTCAGAGAAGTAAAGGTAGGAACCCATTTCCAACCAATCAGAAGGTTAAATTTACTTATTTAAAGGAAAGTGACCAAAACCTCTTCTTAGCAATTCAATGTTTTTCTTATATGTATGACCCACCTATCTCTAGGAAAGAGAGGAGGGTTGTTCCTAGTGCACACACAGACACACACATACACACACACAGACACACACACAGACACACACACAGACAGACAGACACACACACACAGACACACACACACAGGCACACACACACAGAGACACACACACACACCTCTTTTGAAATATATTTTATTCAAAAAATGTCTTCCTTTATTTTAATCATCATAAAAGCCATGGATATTATTTGGTGTGTTAGTGACATTTTGCTCTAAGTGTCATTTGATACTTGTTTGCTCCACCTCTTTTTTTATTATTATAGACAGTAAGGAGCTTAGTGGGATATATGTTGTAACTCTCATGCTACTTTTATTGCTTTAGAACAGGTTCGTGAAGCTGCCTTAAGGTCTGAAGTGGTTGCATTCCCATTCTCTTCATTCCTCTGTTGCTTTTATTCGTATCCACTTCGAGCCTCTATTGTCATAGTGGCTCTCTCTGGGGTTTGGCCACAGGACTACGATTTTACCCATTTTGGGTAGAGTTGAGACAGGTTTAGAGACTTGATCAATGGCACCACAGACTTGTGTGATCTAGTGATTTGTACAATGCCATGAATTCAAATGTCAAGTCGTAACAACGCTGCCTTTCAAAATCACACTGACAGTTGCAGAACTTTATCGGACTTAATCTTGAGATATTTTTCTCGAGACATACAAGGTGGAATTAATTCAGTTACAGCTCTTGTGTAACCAGGAGATTACTCTGTGAAGAAACACCAAAACAATGCATTAGGTATGATTCTCTCCCTGAAAGACATGCGAGGTCAGAGAGAGTAAAAGAGTTGCACCAAGTATTGCTGCATGCAGATCCATTCCAGTACTCGGGAGCTCAAAACAGCCTGTTCTGTGTTACTCACAACTTTGCAGGTCAGGAATGTGAGCAGGGTTCATAGGACATGTCTCATCTCTTGCTTCATGGAGTGTTAGTGGGGTCTCATCGCAAGGGCTGGGGGATCTGAGAAGGTGCTCTCACAGCTGTGGGGCTGCCGTTCTAGGGTCGTTCTCCACATCACCCGTCTGTCTACTTGGCGTTCTCAGCCTGCCTTTTGTCACTTGCTAATCCAGACTAAGACTCTTTGCAAGGATGGAAGTGGGAGCTCCAAGACTTCTTGGGCCAGAAGCCACACCTTGTATCGCCGTCACTCCCCGTGGCAAGTCACAAGTCTCAGGATCAGCGTATGTGGAGGGGAAGGGAAGGAGACTTACCACTTAATAAAAGCAGCTGTGAGGTCACCTCACTAGGGGCAAGGGATAACTGGAGCTATGCTTTACTTTTTAATTAGCGTATAGAGTGGCAAGTTTCCTCGTGACGTTTGCTTCCATATGTGAATTTGGGTAGTCCAGCTCTCCCACCTTTTCCCCCGTCACTCATCCCAGCTGTGCTATTCCACTCTACTTTTCTACACACTGTATCACGTGTGTTCTAGTACCCTCTCCCCATGCTTCCCTTAAGTCCACATGTATAACATGCAGCTAGTCTTTAGAGAAAACATACGCTGTTCATCTTTCAGAGTCTAAGGTGCCTCACTTAATGAACTGCTCTCCAATCAGTTCCATCAGTTTGCCCACCAATTTCATCTTCTCCCATCCAAGTACTGACCAGGACCGACCCTGCTTAGCTTCCGAGATCAGACAAGATCAGGCGCGTTCAGGGTGGTATGACTGCAGACCAATTTCATTCTCTTTATGACTAAATAAAATTAGTGTCTGTTTACTCCTCTTCTTCATTTTCCATCATTCATCTGTTGTATCTGTCTTATGAAATATTCTGCCAAAAAATTTCAAAACAAATAAAGAGCTAAAGAATGGATAGGTCAACACACAGACATAAAAATAGATCTTTTTTGAAAGAAATATTTAACACATGGAGTGAATATGTAAAATACAGACTAATGTCATATGTCTTGTTAACAATAAAACCTTTTGAAAAATGTAAAGTGAAAGATATATATAAACATCGAGGTATCAGCAATGTGTATAAAGTCCTGTCTACACACATTTGTTTACAAATTGTCAACTGGAAATACAGTTCTCTGGCAAAGAAACAGCTTAACATGTACAAAACCTTCAATGCTAAGAAAAAATTCACAAAGAAAAGCAAAGGAAATGTATCAACATTTAATATTCTGCTTATTTTGTACAGGAATATATAACACATGAAGTAATTTGAGTTCTTTGCATGAAGGACTTGACAGTGTTGAAATAGAAACTTTAGTTTTCCCAGGAAATATTTAATAGATTCTAGAAAATATGCATTCTACAGACACACTTTGAGAGACACGTGTTTCTTCTTCATGCAGCAATGTTACAAGGGTCTTTAGAACATGAGAAGGTTCAATGTGGATACAATTTTTCGGTTATTTCCTGTCAAATAGCTGTAAGACTTTTCTTCTCATTGACTGTTGGGAGATGGTGAAGGTCAGAGGACCTGCAATGTTTTGGGAGTGGTTTGTCCTCAAGAGGTTTATGTGTTTAAAATTTGGTCTTCAGTTTGCCAGTGTTTATGTAGTAGAATCTTTAAGAAAAAAATAGAACCTTTATGGAAAGTAACTGAGTCATCCAGGTACCACTTTCATGAATACTTGAATGCTGGGTCTCACAGGTGGCGTACGTCTAGTAAGTAGGGTACCAGTTTTCCCAAGAGAAGGTTGTTATACAAAGAGGGAACTGGCCACACCCCCTTCTTTTGCTTCTTCTTTCACCATGTGAACACTCCTTCTAATATGGACCCCACGTAATGTCATCTTGACATGCTGTAATATAGCCAGAAAGCCTTCAATGGAGTCAAGCAGCGGCTAGCACCATGTTTTTTAGTCCTCTAAAGCTGTGGGTTAAACATAATTGCTATATGAAATTCCGGGCTTTAGGTATTTTGTTATAGCCAAACAAAATAGATGAAGATACCCACAATGTATAATTGCATATAAGGATTATATGAGCCAATTTCCATCTGTAAATGCTCTCCTTGCTTTAGACTGTTATTATGTAAAGAAATAAATTGTGTTTCATGTGTATACAAACATAACCCAAAGGAAATAAAACAACTACGCTGAAGACATTTATATACTTCTGTTTTCACTATAGAATCATTTACATTAATGAAGGGGAAGAAACACCCTAAGTATCTACCAGGAAATGAATGAGTAAAGAAATGTGGTATATATACAAAGTGAAATACAATTTGGCCTTAAGAAGAAGAAAATGCTGCCATTTGTGATGAACAATATAGGAATTCATATGTTGAGTAAAGTAAGTCTGACATAAGAAGATAAATACTGTATGAACTCACTTATATGCAGACGCTACTAGTTCATAAAACACATAAGAATGGAGAAGCTCATCACATAGCCCAAACTTTCAGTTACAAAATGAATGCATTCTGGAGATCTCAAGCTCAGCATAAGGAGAAATGCATGTGTTCACTAACTTTGTTTTTGCGCATATCAAACAATTGAAATGACTGTCTTGAGAAACGGTCTAAATACTTTTTATGTTCATAAGTTGTGTTTTACTAGCTGTGTGGTTTTATTCCAAATCCTCACATAGTATAATCCCTACTGAATGAAATTTTTCGCAGTGTCTGAATGAAGAACAAGGTTTAATGTTCATACAGAGGAAGCAGGCAATTCCTTAGCACCTGTTCTAGAGGGATCTCATAGGTATGAAGAGTAACTAAAGTTTGATGGACACTTACGAGATTGACAGGCAGATGAAGGGACAAGCAAAGAGGAGTAGTTGATGCCCGACCAAGACTCAACTAAGCAGCAATAAACAATAAAACTCCCTTGTTACCGTTACACACAAGGGCTAGGAAGTGCTTTAGCAGAAATCATCCTGACCTACTGACAAAGTCCACTGGAGCTACATGGGAAGTATTGTCCCTTCTTCAACAAACAAACACTCGTTTTCACAAATCACAAGCATAAAAACGTGTTCATACACAGCATTTTAGGGATAAGCCAAGACACCTGGATGTTGAGAGCAGCGGTGCTGTGCAGTTGAAGTTCACAGGGTTTACAAAAGAGCCTACAGAGTGTGGCTCCCCTCTCCCTTCCACAGAACACACATTTTGAGACCCTTCTGCCTGTGGTCTTGGCAGCTACTTCATCTGTCTGTCTCTTTTCCAGGGACTCTTTCCTGCTTCAGCTTGCATACCTCTGAGTGATTATTTCAGCCCCCTCTACACAATAGCAACACTTCATACACACATTCGATACATGTCCCTAAGGTTAACTGCCTTAGGCAGGTCTGTTTCCAAATTCTAAATTCCGAAGGCATGGATCTGATGGGCTATTTTCCCAAAAAATATTTTTATTTTGGCCAGGCTATGCAAGCCATAGGTTTCTTGCTTTGCTGAAACAGGGCCTTGGGGTAGATGCACCTCCCTGGTCCAATAACCATCAGCCAGATGGTGTAAGTCACAGGGTGCCTCACCATAACAGATCTACTCATTAGTTAGCGAGGGCCTCAGCAGCTGCCCTTAGAAGGGGCTGAGGAAATAGCAAGTCATTACATAAACAAGTCTAGTAGAGCTTTGATAATTTTGCTCAACTGAGAAACCGTTCTCAGCTCAGATATTAATCAAGAAACAATTCTTTCTGCCAGAAGCAGGATAATGAAATAAGCTGGCTACAGAGGGAAAGAATACAGAGGCAGCTGGCCAGGGCCCACGGAGCAAAGCCCTGGAGTGTGCAGAGAGACTAGTGATACTAGCAGAGAAAGAAGAACTCTGTATCAGAGAGCATTCATTAGTTTCAGCATAAAAAAATTTGCTCTGGCCATATCTGATGTTTTTTAAAAAGGATAATTCGTTAGATGAATATATGGGAAGCGCTCAGGACTTAGAAAAACTCAGGGGGGGGGTACTTTCAAATAATCTACATCAGAAAGGACAATGTAATACGTTCATCCAGGTACAATACATCTAGAATGAGCTAGTCCAACCATTCTAAGTTCGCTCAATCACCTATTCAAGTCTAGCGATTCTGGGAATGCCCATAGGAGGAGAGAAAGATACTTCATTGACAAACGATGTAAGAGTGAAAAGCTATGAGAAAGTGAAAAACGGTATGTGTGTGTGTGTGTGTGTGTGCGTGCATGCGTGTGTGTGTGCGTGCATGTGTGTGCACATGTGTGCATGTGTGTGCGTGCCTGCTGCGTATAATAAGGGGGATGTATGTATGTGCCCATGCATTTTCATGTACATACACGTGGAGGTGAGAGGTCGCTGTTGAGTGTCTTTCTGGATTGCTCTTCACCCTATTTTTTGGGTGAAGCCTCCTAGCGCTGAGAGTATAGCAAGCATGTGCCACCTCACCTCTCTTTTTATGGGTGCCGGGAATCCAAACTCAAGTCCTCTTGCTTTCTATGCAAGCAGTTACCCACCGAACCATCTCCTCGGCATTTGCACGAATGCTTTGTAAAAATGAGACAGGTGCCTAGGAGAGATTCACAGGAGAAAATTATTTGTAACCAGGCTGAGGAACTTGAGTTTGACTCTCAGGACCCCACATGATGGATAGAAAATAGACTCCCTCAAGTTGTTGTCTCACACATAGACACACACGCACACACACACACACACACAGATAAATCTCAACACAAATTCTGACATATAAAGTGAAATAACTACTGGACAGAAAAATGCACAATATATATTACAGAAACTATGTCCTGAGCAATAAGCAATTTATAGATGAAGTTGTACGAATAGGATGGGGAAACAGCCTCCTTAAGAATACTGTTGAAAACACTAGTTATTAATAACGTAAAATCTGAACAAGTGCAAATAAAACGAAATCAAATCTACTGGAAAAAAGCTAACAGCTAAGCTGAACAAAATGCTTCTTACAGGACGGAAGCCCCCAGCCCAACCCTGCTCTCTTTTTAACTCCGTTAGCCTTCACATCAACACCACAAAGATAGCAGGTGAGGCCAATGTATAGGAATAAATGTGGCTTACATGAAAATCTGTCGAGGAGATAGCTGTGTTGTAATCAAATCCCTGGCCTCTGGTTTTATGACACATTCCCTCTAAGACCCCATTGGAAGAGGCAGGACCGAGGATGGAACTAGCAAAATTCACACAAAGCAAATGAAGAAATCTCTGACTAGGAAAGAACTGTATCTCTCTTACCATATGCCAAGCTAAGGAGTCCATAGATCAGAAGAGGAATCATGCGAGCACTGGGGAGCACCTGGCCATAACTGTCGGCAGCCCATCATTGGTCAACTGTTTATGTTGTGAAGTTTAAGCATCCCTTCCTGTTTGTCTTTGTGGATGAATCCAGTGGAACCCGAATTACAACTGTTTGTAAACAAATGAAGAGTATTTGGTTGGTAGGAAAGGCTTGTCTACAATTTTAGATAAACTTAAGTCATGTGTACTAGAAAAAAAGCCAAACATTAGTTCTAAACTAACAAATGCACCATGTTTTTGTCTCCCAGTCAGGTTTGATGCTTATAGTATGGCTGATTGCCCACTGACACCAGACTAAACTGTGTACAGTCGGGGAATTCCACCAGCCTTGCACACTTAACCATATGGCAAATTGGAGTGGGAATTTCAACTTGTTCTGTTTCCTAGTCCTTCTTCCTTCCTTTTTTTCTGAGTTTCTTCCTACACGTGAATAAAACCACATGGGAACCTTCTAGTATAGAAGCTTCTGAATATATGTGAAAGTTAAAAAGGAATCACCCTATGACAGGTTGACAATGCCTCCACTAAACATCACAAGCTAACAAATACAGAGCCTTCTGCTAAGAACAGGATACCTCTTAGGGAGCTGTTGGCCAGTTAGATCCCATAGACTCCCAAACATTACAGACTATTAATGGTATAAGCTACACTCCAGCACTTGATGGTAAGACCCTATTGCTGAAGTCACCACATACTTGAGTTATAGAGCATGAAGAAGTCAAGCTGATACTCCTCCCAATAGCTATCTGCGATAGTACAGAAAGTACTACATAAGCCCACGGAGGAAAAGAATAATCATCCATCACACTGAGCGTGAATCCTGCAAGCTACCATGACTAACATGGCAAGACATACCCTGGAACAACAAAAGCATGAATGTCACGTGAGCAGCCCACCACTTTCTGATTGGATTTAAGGTCAACTCCAGAGGATAAAAGACATATCTGGCATCATTATCAGGACAAGAATCTGTGGCTAGATAGGAACTATTTGAGAACCTAATATAATTATAGTATTAAACTGACTCCTAATAACTTACTGTTATACCCATAGATTAATGCACCTCTCAGACTTCACCAGCGAACACTCAATTTGTGGGAGATCGTGATTAATAGAGATACACAGCTGATCAAGGTGCAAAGAATAAATGGAACATCTGTGTCACACAGCCTCCTCTCAGGACTCACTGGTCACGGTGGAAGGAGGGGCAGTAGATGATGGAGGAAACAGTATCTTCTGAACACAGCATGGCAGTTGCCCCTGTGAGCTCACAATGGTAATGACATATTCACAGACCTGTATAAGCTCAATCCAGACAAAACCCTGGTATGGAGAGGAGAGGTGGACATGAAACCCCACATCTAGTTGAGTTAACTACTGGGAGAGAATGAATCCGTTTTCCTTAAGAGGGCAACCACTGGAAGCTCAACCACACTCTAGTGAAAGCCCACACATCCAAGAAGATAAGAGCAGCATGAATTGGTTTTTAAAGGGAAAAAGAGCATTTGATGGGTAGAAAGGGGGGCTTAGTCTTACAGGAGTTTGGGGAGAGGTGACTATAATCAAAAAACGTTATATGAAATTCTCAAAGAACTAATTAAAAATGAGAACAAAACAATTGAAAGATCAAACCAAGGACAAAACCCTACATACCTATGAACACTTGATTTTTGGAAAAGAAGCCAGAAATACACAATGAAAAAAAAAAAGAAAGCATCTTCCAAAAATGATACTAGCCAAACTGAATGGCTGCCTGTAGAAGAGTCCAAATAGATCTGTATTTATCAGCCTACACAAAACTCCAGATGATCTTCTGGGCTAAGAGAAAGTGGATTGTCTGTATGTATACTAAAGGGGGATGCCATTGGAGAACTTTAAGCAAGGAACAGATATGAAATAATTTAAAATGTATGATAAAGGATTGATTAATAAAGATAAATATGATAGAGATGGTAAACAGATAAATGTTAAATGTGCATATGATAAGTAGATGATAGCTAAATAGAAAGAGACATGTTGATTAAGATAATAGATAATTGATGACAATAGATGATTTAGATACATAGATAAAACTGATGAATGGTAAGTAGATAACATAGCTATATATAAATAGATGATTGATTACAGACATGTAATAACTGATGAATTTGATGACAAATGATTGATATGGTAAGTGGATTAAATGGTAAATAAGCAAATTGACTGGTAGGTTGTAGATGTATAGTAGATACATGTGTTTATAGGAGGATAGAGATAGAGATGTATATCATTGTAGCTATTGGGTTGCAAGGAAATACAGAGAACAAGAAATGCAAAAACCTACTAAGATTCTTGAAGTATCCTAGGCTAGTGATGCTGGTAGCTTTGACAGGGTGAATAGTGAGAAAATGGTGTTTTATTACTAGCCTATTTGGATAGCCAACTCAGGAGAGCATCTAAAGCCTAGAAGTGATTCGAGAAAAAGAATTGCCAGTGCCTTTCAGGTCAGGGCCAAGTGTTTGACATCTTGGCAGTATCTGTGTTTGGGCTGTGAAAAGCAGCTGCTGACATCTGTGTCTTAGCAATACGGATCAGCTTCTTACTTCATTATGCCAGGGACTTATGAAACACGGAAAGACAAATGAAAAGGAAAGTCTAGTTACATCCTTACCATGACAGTGTGACCTGGAAGAATTCACTTAGCCTTTCTAAGACTTAAGCATAAAATGACACTGAAAGATTAATAATCCCCTGGTACCATTCATACAGTAAAATCCCTGCATCATAACTCACTTCTCACACTGGTGCTGCAATACCTCTAAAAAAACAGACTAACGCCTATTGTGTTTTTAACTGAAAGTTTCAGGAAGGCAGAGACATGAAACTGTATCATTAGCAACTGTGACTCCTCATAACAAATCTGTCTGTAGAACACCAGCATGTAAAAATCCCATTGTCAGATACATCCTATGACTGTCCCTTTTAGGAGCTGTCACCACTGTGTCTCCCCTTGATTCTATGAGTGACCCTCCATTTCACCTCCTCCATGGAAATGGCCTCCTGCCTGCCAGGACATTTACCACCTCAATAACTGCTAGATTACTGCATGACCTACACAATCAACTCTACTTTTGTTCAGAGGGCCAAGCTTTACATTATTCTTAAAATTTTGCAATAAAATGTCTTGTCTTTATTTATTTGTCAAATAAACTTCTTTGTGAAATAAAGTGAATATTTGGAGTTATATATAAACATGCTATTGAAATAGAAAGTCATCTACATACGAATGATATGGACTGGAAAATTAATTTTAAACATTGATATCATTTAATCATGTTTAAACTACAAGGAAAGAATTAATGATGGCATACTAAGTTCTAAAATGCTATACTACCAGCTTAATAAAATTTGAGGGATGACAACTTTTCCTGATTAACTAGATTTTTTAAAGTGCTAACAACATTCACTTTATATTATTTTATGAAAATATATTCCAAATAAATTAAATAGAAAAATATAAAAAGCAAAAATATAACAGAAAAAGATGATACAGGATAACAAGGAATAACTTTGGAGCTGGCAAGGCTGCATGATTAACATATAAATCAAAAATTCACAAAATATGGTAAATTTTATCACATTACACTTTTTATATTACAAAACGACCTAAAATGTTATTTTAGAAAAGTAAACAGTGAATGAAAAAATCAAATACATAATTTCCAAGATCTTAAAATTATGATATAATTAACCCACTTCAATAGCAAAAAATATATACATGGAAATGTTAAGTAGAAGAAATATAAATTCCAATAGCCATAAGAGAGTACTAGCTAGGATTAAAGAAGTATATTTAAATATTTATCATTTTCATATATAAAGTATATTTTATATGTAAATTTTAAAATGTATATTAATATTTTAAATATATGTATATACATATACACATACCAAGTATCAAACATACAAGTATTCAAACTGGAGTTTTGATGGCTGTGAAGACATTGGGGTATATAAGAACTTAATAGGAGTATATTTAAGTAATATAATATTAAAGAGTTATTTGGATTACACTAGACAGTTGCCACAGAAATGTATACCTTATAGGTAACTATAGAAACTATGAGAAACTTTACTACAGAATTTATCCTTGAAGGAATCTTGTGATTTGTTTTTAATCTGAGCCATGGATATGAACATAAGCCACCTGCTAGAATGCCAAAACACATCTTCAAAGCTGAGAGTAGTGATGCTAGTCTTCAATCCCAGCTCTAAAGAGGCTGAGGTTGGAGGAGCCACAATTAGATGACAACGAGGGCTGCATGTCAAGACCCTGTCTCAAAAGCCAACAAGGAAGTAACTATAAGCTGAAGGGGGTGGGAAATCACGGTCTGGGAAGACTACAAGTATGACTAGGAACTCAGACTATGAGTATTTACTTCATAATCCCTTTCTAATTATTTCTGGGAATAGTTTCCTATAAAAGCTATAGAAGGAGATTCTCAAATACCTATAGATTAAGAATTCTAGGAATCTGTATACAAAGTTTGGGCCAGTCACAATTTAATCAAGCTTCCTATTTATTAGTGACAGAAAAATCCCACAGAAAGAAGTAAAAGTGGAATATGGTACATGAATCTCTCTGACTTAGTGTGAAAAGTTAATGGGCTCAGGGATGTAGCTCGGTGGTAGAGCCCTTGCAACACTCAGAGAGAACGTGTGTGTCAGTGGAAAAGAGAAACAGAGAGTCAGAAAAGAAATGCCTACTATTGTGTAGGTCTGTATAATACATCTGGGCTCTTTTCACTCCTTACATAATCTCTCTGTCCTATTCAACTTCAACCCATCACAAATGCCTTCTTAGGATAGTGCTGTCCCCCACCCCCACACACACACACATACATCATGCTCCTTAGGGATACACTTTAAAAGAGAGTTCTTAAGCCTCAAGGAGTTATCCTTTGTCCTATAGCTAATCTCTTAATAAGACCAATTTAGCTGTAATATAAATGGTAATTCATAGTGTTCTATTTATTTATTGCACAATTCTCAACTTGCTCAGAGATTGCCGCAGCTGCTCTTACCCGTGGGCAGAGTCAGTTAAGAGATATTTTGGTTGCCTTTTGGAACCACGTTAAAGGCTCAATTTTTGACAATATTGAGTGCTCTGGGAAGAGGTATTGTAAGACTGTGTGTCTGTCCTTAAAGTTTCTACTATATATAAGAGCTACATTAGACACAGTGTGTGCTCCTAAAATCTCAGTGTCACAGTACTTAAGTATGAATAAAACACAAAGTAATAATGGAGATATTTTTGCAAACCAGCAAATCAACATGGAAGAAAAGACAGTTTGATAATAATTGGAGTCACATGTGAGACAGACTATAGATATGAACATATAATTATACTATCCCATTGTAACTTTGGGGTTGTTTTCAACAGAGTCATATTGAGATTACAGCAGCAGTTTCATTTGTAACATCTTCCCTTCTAGCACAAATGCAGAATTTGCAGTGGTATTAGTCTGCATTCTCTTAAGGATTTAAAGTGTCAGTAGTCTTTAATTTACTCTAGTCAAAGATTATTTGCCAAGATCCTACCTGATGCCAATTTTCATTCAGTCTCCATAAATGTTTACTAATACAATAGTGCACAAAACTCCTGTGTGGATTGAATATGCCAAAGGAGATATTTGCTTTTGTGCTTCTCCATGCCCATATTTAAGCATATTACGTAAATATGTCCACACCTAAATCTGTTCCATCTTGTTGATCCGTTTTTAAAATTCACACCCTACCTTGTATAAACGCAACCCAACCATGTAACTGGTTCATGAGTCATAAACTTACAAACACTGAAGTAATCATAAAAGCATTTTTGTTAGTTTACAATTAGAGTATTAAGTTCAATATCATGATATGCTATGTTTTGGGGGAAAATCATAAAGGGTTTTATTTCTTAATGCTCAATAACATTGAACAGACACAAATACAAAGCAAACTGTATATCCCTTTTAACCCTTACAAAAACAATTAATTTTCCTAGTTACATAATGGCAGATACTTCTGTTTTATTTTTTTAAAAATGCTTATAGGATATGCAAACCAACCAGGCACCTATAGGTGTATGGGTGATATAGAAGAATATTCTGCTTACTTAAAATAATGGTTTTAAATGAAGTCCTCATCCCTTATATGAGAAAAAAATTCTCTGTTGTATAAATATGATTT